GGAAGTAAAGACTATAAACTGAGAATTATAAGATTTGAGAAAAAACGACACATCCATAAGATTAGTTGTCGGTATAACAGGGATATAAACGAGGTGATAGGGAATAAAGGTTTACCACCACCTCCACCACCACCACCACCACCGGGGTCCCGCCGCCTCGACCCTTCCCCGAACCTTCTCGGCAGCCTTCCCCTGCAGGTCAGCAGTCTTGCTCGGGGAGCCGCGCCTCTCCCGGCCGCAGACCCGTTCAGCAGCCGCCACGCCGACCCGGCGAGCTGACCCGAGATGACCCGAGATGACCCGAGATGACCCGAGATTAAGCCGCCACGCCGACCCGGCGAGCTTCGCACACACACACGGCAGCATCTATCGAGAGGGAGGCGAGAGACGCAGCTTGGACAGGAGGACGCCGGCGCGGTATGGGTGGACGCAGGGGCGGGGGCGGTGCATGCACGGAGAGGCACACAGACAGACACACACACACACAGGCAAGGCGCTGACCACCCCCCCCCCCCTTGGGAGAAGAGAGGCGCCGTGTTCACACCTCGCCGGTCGCGGGCAGGCAAGTCGCCCCATCGCACTCGACGTGGTGCTGTTGCGCGCGAGGAGCGGCGTCGCGGCGGGCAGGTCCCTCTTCGGACCCGCCCCGCGCGGCCGCCACGGCAGCGTCGCCGCCGCTTTTCGCTACGGCGGCGTCGGCGCCATCGACTATGGCGCGGCGAGCGGCGTGGTCGCGGCGTGCTCGCTGCCGCGCAAAGGGCTCCCGCCGCCCGCCGTGCTGGTCTGGGACTGGCGGACCGGCGTGTGCCTGCAGGCGCCGCTGGATGTCGACCCCTCCCGCCCGCGACACGTCCGCGACACGTCCGCGACACGTCCGCGACACGTCCGCGACACGTCCGCGACACTTCCGCGACAGCGTCCGCGATACACGTCAGCGACACGTCCGCGACACTTCCGCGACACGTCCGCGATAGTGTCCGCGACATCTCCCCACAGGCGGTGCTCCTCCACCCTCTGCCCCCCGCGCCTCCACCGGCAGCCGTGCGGCCGCTTCGCTTCCCGATTGGCGCGCAGGTGCCGCGCCACAGCTCCCGCCCGCTCGCAGCTTGCCCGCCCGCTCGCCCCCTTTCCCTCTCCAGCTCCCGCCCGCTCGCAGCTTGCCCGCTCGCCCCCTTTCCCTCTCCAGCTCCCGCCCGCTCGCAGCTTGCCCGCTCGCCCCCTTTCCCTCTCCAGCTCCCGCCCGCTCGCAGCTTGCCCGCTCGCCCCCTTTCCCTCTCCAGCTCCCGCCCGCTCGCAGCTTGCCCGCTCGCCCCCTTTCCCTCTCCAGCTCCCGCCCGCTCGCAGCTTGCCCGCTCGCCCCCTTTCCCTCTCCAGCTCCCGCCCGCTCGCAGCTTGCCCGCTCGCCCCCTTTCCCTCTCCCCGGCCCCACGAGCCTTGTCCGCCCCGTCGGCCGCGTGTCGACTGCCGGTCTGAGCATTCGGTGCCCGAATCAAGAGCCCTCTCTTGTGCGCCGCCTCGCAGGTGGCGTGCCGCATGGGCGCGTGGCCCTGGCTCCACGGCACCATCGCCGACCACCACGTCTCGCACGGAGAGGGGGGAGGAGTGTACTTGGTGCACCTCGACCGAGGCGACGCGTGCCCCGTGCCGCCCGCACCTATATGAACGGCGTCTACTTCACGCCGAGTCGCCGTGCACAGGCGACTCGTGCGTCGTGCCCGTCGACCACCCCGACCTCGTGCGCGGCGTCGCCGGAGGGGAGGCGCTCGCGTGGAACGAGCGCGCGCAGGCGATGGAGGTGGCCGCGGAGGCGACCCTCGCCCTCCACCCGTCGGGCTGTCGGCTCGCGGTCGGCATGTGGCACGCGGGCGCGGCCGCAGGAGTGGCGTACTCGATCGGCTTCGGGCCGGGGAGGGGGTAGATCAATCAAACAATCTGGGGGGGGGGGCTCCGTTGGTGGAAAAGGGGCGGGTTGGTGTGCTTCTACCTTCTTGTTTGTCTTTGAGAGGTGAAGCCTCGGAAGAGCGGGTTCTTTCTGCGCGAGTTCTCTTTTCTCGCCCCTCGCCTTGGACTAGGTCCAGCCCAGGGTGGCACAGATCTGACGTTTTGTGTCTGTAATATAGACATATAAGATGAGAGTGACAGTGAGGTTGAACCGGACCCAGTGGTCTGTTTTGGGCATGCCAGTGGGTTCCGCGACCTCAAATGACCTGGGGAATCATTGGGATTGCCTTGATTTGTTGTTGACGTTTTCGATTTTTTGATTCGTTGTATCGCGTGTTACTTTCTTGCTGGAATTCAATGTTTCGGCCTCGGATTTAGACTCAGCGTATCAAAACATGTCTGGGTAATATTCAAAAATCTGATGGATTCCCAGCTTTAGGAGGGAGTGGATGCATTGCAAATATGTTTCTTCTACTCCTCTACTGCAATTGCGCATAGGTGGCCGCGCTGACCGGCTTCTCTGGCACTGGCCTGGGCAACGTCCCGCAGGAGAATACTGCACACATCAACGCGATCAGCTGAAACATCTGCAATGCCTGTGGCTCATCGGCCGAAAGAGCCCACCTCCCGGAGGGCCCTTCGAGCCCTCCCGCCTCCCGCCACGAAGATCCTCCCTTGTCCGACCGTCCCTCCGAGCCCACCCGGCGTCCGGGGAGGGGGTTAGCCCTGTGGAGCCCTCCCGACGCCGATCCGTTTGGGACCCCTCCAGCCCTGTGGGCTGGCGAGCCCTCAGGCATTGCTCGCCCGAGGCTTCCGCGCCCTCGCGGTGCCGCCTGGTGAGCCCGACGGCCAGTGGCTGAGCAAAGCGACACCGCTCCGCGATCGGGTGTAGGGTGGACACGACGGTGACCCGCACGTCCGTCCTCTCTCCTTGCGTCCACCGGCACCGCAGCTAGGCGCAGCTCCTTTAGATGTCGAGTTTACGCGCTGGGCGGGGCACATCTAGCGTTGTTCGGCTGCCCTCCGCTGCATGTGGTCCTGTCGGGCCGATCCATGACCATGTCCATGTTCCTCAGGCTCGCTGCTTTGCCCATCTTGTGTTGCACTGGCACGAATATGGTATAGTGTATGTCTCTCTCATATGGTAAGAGAGGACGGAAAATCCGAGACGGTGACGGGATGCTGGCTCTGTGGTCTCAGGCCCAGTGAGGTAGTGCACGAGACTATCCCGGATCCTGCTGAACAAGCTCCTCTTGTAGCTCGATCGGTCACACCGCCATCGCCGTCGGGGAGAGGGGGGACGACACTGCTTCGGCAGCGTGCACCTCGATCCTGTACCGTGTTTGTTATGACCCCCCCCAATGAACACACCAGTGAGGGAGGGCGAGACGATCGAGGGGTCCCGTACCATGCGGAATCGACCCTACTCGCATAATGTGGGTAAACGAAAAAAGTAGCGCGCAATTCGTCTACGTACGGCTTAGTGTGTGGTTGGGGTGGCCTCAGGCATCCCCAAGGGAGCCTCTGCGGTGCCACATAAGCAGCTGAGTGATTGTCGAGACTTTAAAGGATTCGTTTGAAGAAACGCAAACAAGACAAACGGTACTATGGTCACCAGTAAACGAAAATTCGACTTTGAGGGATCATATCTCAAAAGGCTGGGTGAGAGCATAGCATTATTGTTGCATATTATACCACATAAGGTCAAACTTGACCCCAGAAGCATCAAGAACCCGATGCTCCGGCTCGACTGTGCCGGCACACTGCCTCCTCGCGCACGCTGCTCGCAGGCCGTTGCGGCCCGTGGTGCACCAGAGAGAGAGGTCGACGCGTTGCCCCCGCCGGCGACCCCGCGCGGCTCAGGCCAGCCAGAAGGTGTGTGGTGACGGCACCGTGGCAGGAGTGCGGAGAAGAGCTCGCCGAACGCGAGCAGCAGATGGCCAAAGTGTGCCAGCGCGAGAGCCTCGCGAGCGGGCGCAGAAGGAGCTCGCCGTGACACGATGCCGGGCGGTGGTGGTGCTCTGGCGACTGTGCACAGTGGGCAAAGTCAGGCTGCAGCAGGGCAGCACGTTGGTAGTGCCCTGCTGCAGCCTGGCCTGACATGCACAGGGCGAACAGAGGCGGTACTATCGTCCGGCGCTCGTCACCGAATCTGGGCGAACTTCGACCGCCGCCACAGCTCACCACGAGCACGCAGCGACAAAATGTTGACTGTATGGAAGTCGAGGCTGGTCCATAGGAAGAGGCTGCCGTGCGAGCCGGCAGCAGGCTGGCTCGTCGTGGACTGTCGCGGGGACTTTTTTCGGTGTCTTTCTTGATAGTACCGAATACGGTACTTTCGTTTTCCCACACTCTGCGAGTATCCAGTGCTCAAGTGCTCAGAGGACGAAAGCAGAGAGAGATATGAAATTTATGAACAACGCGACGGACATGGCCGTCGGCAGCAGCGCATTGCTTGCGACGACCGCAGCAGGCAACGATGTCACGCCGGCATCATGTTTGCCAGCCGAGCGTCCGCCATCCATCGCTGAATCCCGGCTGAGCATCGGCCATACATCGACCATCGCCCTACGGCCAGGCATGGCACTGCCGACACTCTTCTGCTTCCCGCCCACCTCTGTCGGCGTCACTTCGCGTACGGTGCTGCTCATCGTGCCTGGTGGTGGCTTCAAGAGCTATTCACGGCACGAAGGCTGCGTGACAGCACAGCATTTTGCGGCGTGTGGCCATCGCTGCTACGTGCTTGCGTACCGGTTCAAGGCGGCTGGCGGGACGGTAGCTGACTGCCACTCGGACATGCGGTGTGCAATCGCGCACCTGCGCCGGCACGAGCCGGACAGCCACTTGCACGCACTCGGCTTCTCGGCCGGCGGCTGTCTTGTCGCTGGTACGTGCGGCCGTCACGCTCACGACGGCGACGCAGTGCCGGAGCCGCCGGACTCGTGTGGCTACATCTATGGTCACGTGCCAACGGGCTTGCGGCTATGTTCGGCGCCGCCGCCCTTCTTCCTCTACGCCACCGCAACCGACGTCATCTGCGAGGTTGCGAGCTGCCATGACGCGATGCTACGCTTGCTCGCCGCGTCCGACGGCACGCGCTCGCACGACCGTTCAGTCGTGTGGCCAAGCGTGGCCAACTGTGACGAAACCCTCGCTGCGAAGCTCTCCGGCTGGTGCGCGCGGCACGGGCATGGGCAGGGCATTGGACTGCACAAGCAGGGCGATCTGCAAGTCTTTGAGTGGGCGAAGGAGCTACACACATGGCTCGTGGGCGTGGCACACCTCTCGAGCGACCGCACGAACGCCGCGCCCGACACCACGCCCGATACCGCCGCTCATGCCGTGCCCGCCGCTGCGCCCGCTGCTGCGTCTGCCGGCGCGCCCATCAGCGCCCCCGCGACGAGCCTCGCAAGCGCAGCCAACCTCGGCGAGTTCGTGTCGCGCTGCGGGACGTTGCCGGCGGGCGAGTGTTCGGAAGAGGTCATGAGTGCATGCGGCCATGTCTCTGCGCGGCGCACGCATGAGCAGCGCATTCATTTGGACCTCGTGAGCGAATTCACGCGCCTCAACGTGGTGTTGACGCCGGACGAGCCCGCTGACAAGGCGACGGATGCGGCGGCCGCTCAGCCCACCGCCCAAGCTGCGTGCGCCGCACGCCGCATGAGCGGCACGCGCCTTGGGAGTGTCATCCCAGGCAGTCTTGTGCGAGTGAGCGGCATCGCCCAGCGCTCGACACGCGGCGGGCTGGTGCTGACAGCTCGCGACAGCGGTGTCGAGCTGCTCGCCGCCGCGTCGTCACACGTGCCACCGCCCGTCGCGGCGCCGCTGCCACCGCGCTTTCACCTGACACCAAACACGGTCGGCTGGCACCGCGCACTGCAGCGCATGGGCATCGGTGCGTACAATTCGCTGACGTGGCGCGGTGGCGAGCCGCTGCCTGCACCGCCGACGCGCGGCTGCTGGTTGCTGCCTGCAAGCGACCTCGCCGCGCTCGCGATCGCACGCCAACGCGAGCAGCTTGCTGCGCTCGGCTGGCGGCTGCTCACGTGCGCCCCGCGGCTCGTCAGCGCGTTGAGCAACAAGCTGCGCTTTCGCGAGCTTGCGGCGAGTCGCGGCCTGCTCGCCCACCTGCCGCGACACTTCTTGACGCCCGCCGACGCCACCTTCCCGTGCGTGCTCAAGGCGGCAGTCGGCGAGTTTGGGCGGCACGTGCACATTCTGCGCACTCGTGAGGAGGCTGAGCTGCGGTGGGATGTCGCGCTGCGTTGGCAGCAGAGGCGCGGGCGGCGTGGCGGCGGCGCGGATGCTGATGACGCGGCTGAGGCTGCCGACGAGGAGGAGGGTTGGCTGCTGCAGGAGCTGATTGCAGGGCGCGTCGAGCACAGCGCGTCGCTGCTCGTGGCTGATGGCGCCATCGTCGGCGCTGTCGTCACCGAGTACACATACGCCGCCGACGAGTATGTGTGGCCACACGTGCGCGAGATCAAGGAGCAGCGCGTCTCGCACAGTGTGCTGCCACCCACCCACCGCGCAGTAATGGCGGCGCTCCTCGCGGGCTTCAGCGGCATGTGCAACGTCAACTATAAGGTGCGTGGCGACGCGCTTTGCATCTTTGAGGTCAATGTGCGCGTCGGTGGCGACCTCGCAGAGGATGCGCCGCCGGAGCTCGCGCGCGGGCTCTTCGAGGCCCTCGACCGGCAAGGCGAGGGTACGGGAGAGGCACGGTTCGGTCCTGCTGGAGGGGAGATGGACCACGCACGCCCCCAAACTCCTCCTCCGCCGCCTCCGCCCCCGTCTCCTCCGCGAGGCGCTGCAGCACCGCCGCCCTGCAGCGCAGCAGCAGCAGCGGCGCGGCGATGCGGCTGCGGCGGGGAGGCGCGCGCGCGAGGGTGAGCGCCTCTTCCAGCGCCTCCTCGAAGCCCCCCTCGGCCAGCCGGAAGCCGCGCAGCTCGCGAGGGCGGGCCGCGTGCGGGGCCGGCTCGCCGTCGGCCAGCTCAACACGGCGATCGAATCGGAGCCCTCTTGAGAGCGCGTCTTTCACTTCTCCCACAGTCGCGACAATGGCTCCCGGTCCGGATGATGGCAAGGCTGAGGCGGGCGCGAAGCTCTTCAAGGCCAAGTGCGCGCAGTGCCACACGTGCAACGAGGGCGGCCCCAACAAGCAGGGCCCCAACCTGTTCGGCGTGATCGGCCGCCAGTCGGGCCAGGTGTGTGCACACTGGGGCCTGTGCAGTGACGAATTCGCACCACCCCGGCGGGGATTTGGCGTGGCTGGTGGTGGGGGTCGCAATTTCGCGATTTTGTGATCTCCCAGGGAGATTTCGATAAAACCGGACCGATATAGCCCACAAGACATGCCGACCGACAAAGACAGAAGGGCAAACCAGACACCACCATGGGCGGCTGGCGGATCGCAGCACGGCGCGTCAGGATTGACGCACCTCTCTTGGCATTGCCCTGGCCTTTGTGGGCCTGATGCCGCCAAGCAGAGTGTATGCTGCCAGAGTTTCCGAGACTTGCTCGGCCTTGGGAGCCCAATCATGCGCATTCCGCCTTTTCAACGCGCGTATTGTTGGGACGAGAAGCTGGCAGCAGGCTGGTGGCGCGACTCTCAGGGCGGCCCCCATTCCACTGGCAAGGCCATCTTCTGCCCAATTCGTGGTTCGGACCCACGCGCGGAGCTGATCGTCGTTGATGGCCAGCAGCGCCTCACCACCATGTGCCTTTGCGTTTCGGCAATCAGAGACGAGGCGCTGCACTCCCTTGCCACTGCGCCAGAAACCGCGGAGGAGCTCGCCCGCGCTTGCGACGCGGTGCTCTTCAGCGATTCTTTCGCAGCGCAGCAGTGGTTCGAGGCGTCGCAGGCTCTGTTGGCAATGGGTTCAGCAGGCTGGCATGAGGTGCTCCCGCCAGATGGCGAGGCTCTCTCATTTCTGTCCCTGGTCCCTACGTTCAGAGATAGGCTGGCCTTCCAGCAGTTGCTTGCTGCCGGCAGGCTTGGGCTCCATCCCTCGGCGCCTGAGAGCCCCATGGCCGAGGTCAGAGCGAGTTTGACCAGGCGGTTCGGGGACGGAGTTTGCAGCAACTCGAATCCGATTTGCGGCGCATGCTTGACAGCATGACTGTTATGTCTATGACGATTGTGGACCCTCCACCAGGCCTGGCTCGGCAGCTGTATCAGTGGGCGCAGGAGAAAGCTATGACCATTGGAATGGAGCTGCTCAATCCAAAGCCTGGGGTCTGTCTTACTGTGTCAGACCTCGTGCGGAATCTTGTGCTCGCTCCGCTCCTTGATCGGCCTGCAGCCGAGATGGAAGAAGTGCTCAGGCAGCATTGGCTTCTGCTGGAGCTTCGCTTCGGCTCGCCCGTCCAATTCGATGCCTTCCTCCAGCGATTCGTCGATGCGGCACCTCTGGCACCCGTGTCCGAGGCCGCGGCACTCATCCTCGCCAGCGCCGACGGGGCCGCCTCCATGGGCGGGAGGGACGCCGAGGCGCAGTTCCGGCTGTATGCCCGCGTCCTTTGCGAGTATGACGTGGTCTCCCAGGCACAGGTGGAGAGTGGGGCGGATGAGCTTGCGGCGATCGCCGCATTGAGCGCAAAGCTCAGTCGTTTCGCGGGGGGCCCAAAGACGTGAAGGGCAGTGCGGTGGCCGGAGTCGCCAAGCCTCTTCCGCCGCCACTGCCTCGGAGGAACTTTGTCGCGCCTGCACGTGCAGCATCTCATGCGTTGTCTCTTGTCGGGGAGGCCTTGTCTCCCATCGGGGAGGCCTGAGAGGAGTGTGGAGTCGGCGGCGCTCATCACCACTCGTGGGTTGCACTCTCACTATCATGCTCACCGTTCCGCCGCGCAAGACCTCACGCCGAGCGAAAAAAATACATAAAATGTTATGCAAGCCAAAGGAAGCGCCTTGCAAAACGGCGGAAAATTTCCGCTTCCGACACGTTTCTCGAGTCGGACGGTGTGGCGGCACTGGCGCGCGCTTGGCGCCCATACACTAGCAATTCGGCGTCGAGGCGAGCGCGCTCGCGAGCGAGGGCGCGCTTGTGCGTGCGCGCGTGCGACGCTCGCTCTGCGCCTGGGGAGTCGGTTCACGGATCACGGTTCACGGACTTGGAGAGAGTCGTGATTTCTTGTTGGTGAATAAAAATCTCTCTCGGACTTGGGGTGGGGGCTAGTCGGTTCACGGTTCGGGGTTCACGGACTCGGGGCGGGGGCTAGTTGGTTCACGGTTCACGGTTCACGATTCCGGCGTGAACTGAGACGGCTGGGTAGTGGTGCACTAACCTCCGAGAAACCCATCGGGTCGCTCCTCATCGCAAACCCTGTCAGCAGAGTCCTCCTACGGGAATGTACGAAGAGCCACATACACTGGAAAGAATTTAAACAAAAGAACTCTCTCTCAGAGCAGACAGGCTCGTGTGAGTGAGTGAGTATTCTTGATACGAAACCACGACGACACACACCAGTCGACTCGCATCGGTTGCCTCCATGAACGGCGGAGCTATTCTCGCGCCCACACCACACCTGGCTCCAACGTGGACACGCCCATAGCTGGGGACACTACTAGGTCACGCATGGCATCACAGAAGTTTTATCTCTGGGCCCCGAAAGGCATCTCTAGCAGTGTCGTTACACATGCCCCCTCCCCTCCTGGGCGCATGCGCCTCACGTCTCGCCAGAGCATAAGCCCTTGGCGTGTGGCGAGACGAGTTTTTCGCCATGCAGCGAGCAGCAAGCCGCCCGCCGCAAACAGCCGGAGGCATCGCCACGGCACTGACTGCGCCGCGGTCCCGCACCCGTCGACGCAGCTCCCCCCGCGGAAGACCGCGCGTAGCGACGTCTTGACGATCGAGATGAGCGTGCCTGAAGCTCGCCCACCTACTGCCCCTGAGAGTTGGTTATGAGTGGGCTCGGCTCCCCCCCTTGGGATCGAAGCTTCCACGACCTCACACCCAACATTCCAGGCGGGATCAGAAGGGGACTCCACACCGGACACCGCCCGGGCACAGACCCCCTACCCGTCGGATCGCACAGGGCCCCCTCGGAGCAGCCCACACACAATCACGCATCGGCAGATTGAGTGCCTGAGTCAGGCAGACAGCACAGACAAGAGGAGAGAGAGGAGAGAGAGAGAGAGAGAGAGGAGAGAGGAGAGGGTGAGGGTGTGAACACACGTGAGGAGTGGGGGAGGGTGTCTGTGGTGGGCTGTAGTCCTACTACGTGGTTACAACCACGCGCCCCTCAGGAGCTTAAGGTAGAGCTGAGCGTCCAAGACGCCTCGGTGCCACCCACCGGCGTGAAGACCATCCGGATCTGCCGGGTTCGCCCTCCGGACGGACCCGTCCCCGCGATGGCCCACGGTCCTCCGTCGCCAGGTCGAACCCCCTGCCTCCCGGTTGACCCCCACTCCTCGTAGTCCATCATGAAATAAACTCAAAGACCCACCACGCCTCCAGCCTCCACCTCCACCCGCGAGCCGCCACCGCTGCCGCCCGCGACGCCGCCCGCCGCGTCAGATAGCCGCGACGCGCGCACCGAGTCGAGTCGGAGAGCCGCGCCGCACCAGCAGGAGCATCTGCACCACCAGCAGCAGCAGCAGCACCACCACCACCACCCGAGAGAGAAGCACACACACTCACACACACACGCAGACAACTGGAAAGAAAGCTCGACAGCACGAATTTGGGATGGGACACCTTCGGGACCCGGCTGCGTGCTACTTGGATAGCACGCTTTCGGAGTACCGACGGCTAAGGCCGAGGCAGAAAAGGTTTGTGTTTTTTTTCTCCGCTTTCACAGGAGAGACGTAGAGAAACAGATCTTTCAAACTCGGTGTCGAACCACCAGCCCGACGCTCACTACAAGTGATCGCGGCCAATCTCGTTTTGCCATTTTGGCCGCATGAGTGGCGCCGCGAGCCCAACTCTGCTGCCCGACCTGGCGGTGGGCGACCTGGGCTCGCTGCGCGCCTCCCTCTCCGAGTGGGGGACGCGCGGCACGTTGCTCACGGTCCAGCTCGACGCGCGGCTCGACACCGAGAAGCAAGACACGCTGCTCACCTGGGCCGCTCGGCACGGGCAGGCCGAGGCGGTGCGGCTGCTGCTCGAAGCTGGCGCGAGCGTCGGGGCGACTGACGGCCGCGGTGTTTCCGCGCTGTTCATCGCATGCTTGCAGGGCCACGTCAAGATCGTCCGGCTGCTCCTCGACGCCAAGGCGGCGGTCGACCAAGCCAATGAGGGCGGCGTCACGACGCCGCTGTTCATCGCGTGCTATCAGGGCCACCTCGAGTGCGCCCGGCTGCTCCAGCAGGCTGGCGCGGCAGTCAACCAAGCCGTGAATGGCGGCTTCACTTCGCTGTATGTCGCGTGCGAGCTGGGGCGTCTCGAGATCGCCCGGCTGCTCCTCGAGGCCAGCGCGGCGGTCGGCCAAGCAGCAGAGAACGGCGCCACGCCGCTGTTCATCGCGTGCCTGAAGGGCCACGTCGACATCGTCCGGCTGCTCCTCGAGGCTGGCGCGGCGGTCGGCCAAGCCAAGAAGAATGGCGTGACACCGCTGTCCGTGGCGTGCGAAAAGGGCCAGCTCGAGATCGCCCGGCTGCTCCTCGAGGCTGGCGCGGCAGTCAACCAAGCCGAGGAGGATGGCGCCACGCCGTTGATCATGGCGTGCTGGGACGGCCACGTCGAGGTCGCCCAGCTGCTCCTCGAGGCTGGCGCGGCGATCGACCAGGCCAATGAGCAAGGCGCCACGCCGCTGTACATGGCGTGCCAGGACGGCCATCTCGAGGTCGCCCGGCTGCTCCTCGAGGCTGGCGCGGCGGTAAGCCAAGCCCGCAACGACGGCGCCACGCCGCTGTTCGTGGCATGCTTCAAGGGCCACCTCGAGGTCGCCAAGCTCCTCTCCTCCTACGGCGCCTCCCGCGCCGCAACGCCCATCGGCACGTCCGAGGAGGCCGCAAGCCGCAGTGGCTGCGGTGCGCGCGTCTGACTCCCAACGAGTGAGCCAGCGGATCTTATCAGCCTTCGCTGGGTTCTCACCCGGGTATGCCGGCCATGCCGTCTTCTCCGAGAAGTCCGGTGCCGCCGACTCGTCGGCGACGAAAAGCGTGTTGAACAGCGTGTCGTCCATTGCGATAGTGTGTGTGTCGAAGTTTCTTGGAGATCTATGCTCCACCGCTACCAGATGTGAGTACGTCGAGGTACTCGAGGTCCCGAGAGTGCCGACGGTCGGTGCGCGAACAGTCTCTCGTTTCAAACCACAAAGAATCTTCTCCTCTCGCAATCAGCGAGGGAGTACCACAAACACA